ACATGCTAGGAATCAATTGCTTCCACATGAATTGTCCTAGGAAGATTCTGAAGATCACCTGGCAAGATAAGGTACTGGACACTGGGGTTTTTCTCAAGCTAAACTGCCAAGCATTCAAACTCACTGCAAGGAGTGCAACTCTGATGGGCTGGCCACATACATGCATTTGCCTAAGAGACTGTTTTATGGAGAACTCACACGAGGTAAGTGCTCCCATGGAAGTCAGAAGAAACGACACAAAGACGCTCTCAAGGTCTCTCTGAACAATTTTGGAATTGATTGTGTGTCATGAGAAACACTGGAATAGGACCACCCAGCAAGGCATGCCGCCATCAAAGAAGTTGCCGTGCTTTACGAGCAAAGCGGAATTGCAGTAGCTTAAAGGAAACATGAGAAGCACAAATCTAGAGACATCTCCACTCCAAATGTTCATACGGACTATTTGTTCCCAACTGTGGTAGAGTTTTCTGAGCTCATATTGCTCTTATCGGACACAGTCAGACACAATGTACCTTGACTCCAACACATGTCAGATGGCATTCTGGTCCTCTATGAGAATGAAGAACAAGCAATCAGCCAACCAAGGACATGGAGGACAGCAAGTGATTTATGGGACTCCACCATGCTGATGATCAGGGTCCCTAAAATGACTGGGAATGGCTCCTCATGAAAGTTACTCTTTTTTAACCTTTACGCTTTTCTTCTAATATCTTATCCACTTCTAAGACAAATTCAACAATGGAGAGGCATGAGAGAAGAAGGGCCTTTTTTCTGGTGTTCTTTATGACAACCTTGGCCCAGGGCAGTAAGGTGTGAAGTATTTATTTGTGTGTCCAGAGCAGCTGATGTCAGTGTACGTAAACCAAGGACAAACTAGACACACTGCGAAAAGCCAGTTTTAGGACTCTACAAGGACGAGAGGAGAACGCTACCCTATGCCTAAGGTGTAGGTCATGAGGGGCCCACAAAAGAGATAAAATGGCTTTCAGCAACTAGGAGTTGGGAGCTATTCTCTCGCCACATATGCTTTCTAAGCATAATCCCATTTTGCCCCTCCACTCTAGGTACTTTTTCCAGAGTGTGCCCCAGGTTATATATACCACCTTAGTAAATACCCATTCTTAATTAAATCCAGCTGACTAATATTGATGAATAATCAATGGGCACACTGGTCAGGGCTTATATGTGAAAGCACTAGAAAAATACAACAACCCTTCAGGTTTATCCCTAGAACCCTAAGGGGAGATACAGTAGCCACCCTCTGGAGACCTGACTTGCTAATGTGAATGGGAATTGGGTTACTAGCCCCAAAGTGTGTACTAGATTCTTAATGATCACTGTATATATTTCCAAATGTTTTTATAAGCTCCTCATTTTTGCACTCTTGTTTCTAATCCTGGGATTAGAAGACCTCTTCATGTGTCTAAACTCATCCCTGTGAACCACATTTCCAGAGTTTTGTCTTTCATTTAGTTCAAATTTTAGTTAAAATTGCATTCAGCAAATTAAAATGTTAAAACAAACTGTCCAACATGCAATTCCACACAATAATGAAGCAGTATATCAATATTAAAATTAGCAAATAGAGCTACCAAAAAGCAACATATACAGAACCATACAAATGCAGAAAGCAACACTGGACAATATACAGAGACAATTAACATATGAAAAGGCAAACGATATCCACTAAGTCACGGCCACATGCAAATAAGCAATAACATTGTTAATGGCTTAATGTATTAATAACCCATAGCATTCACAAGCAGAATGGATTTGGATACTATGAAGTACAGTGTGTCAGTCATGAGGGAGGAAAACCATACACAGCAAATTTGTTTTTAACATATATGTCAAAATCTGCACTAGAAAGAATTCCAGAGTAGAAACAAATAAAAAATTCAAAATTAGAATCATAAAGAAAAAAATCCAGAAAAAAACTTTAAAATAAGAATAAACTGAAAACTCAAGAAAAATTTAAAAAGCATTTCTGTGGTGAGAATCCTTAATGGTGACTCCTATGTAACAAAGGAAGATATGCTTCTTAAAAAATCAAAATATCCACCCAGATAATAATAGCTAGCACTTATATAGTATTGTCAGGTTTGCAAAGTGCTTCATAAATATTATCTCATTTAATCCTCACAACCACCCTAGGAGGTAGGTGCTATTATTACCTCTATTTTACAGATGAGAGAACTGAGGCAGAGAGAAGCTTGAACACTCCAGAAATTTGAATTTAGATTTTCCTGACCACAGGTCTAGAGCCCTAACCTAACCCTAACAGGTCATTTTCCCAGCCTTTGGGACACCTATAGACATATGTGTTTTACTTTGTATTTTCCCCTCATGACACTTGGAGAGCTCTGGTTGGATAAGCAGAACACGTCAGCTTATGTACTGCTACCCTTCAACCTCCAGAAAGGCACTGTCACCTTGTCATTCAGTGGAGTGTAATGTCCAGTTTGTCCATCTGATAGACAGCAGACAATTTGTTCTCTCCCCAGTGTCTTTGGCATGGAGTGCTGAGCAGTTGGTTTTGTTCTGTTTTTGTTTTTGAATGTTGGCTATGTTCAGTAGGCAGGGGAATAATATAAAATGTTGCTCAAATTTTTTGAAAAAGAGAAATCTATGGCTCCATCCCCACACCCCATCTGGAGTCTCTGTTCTCTGTCAAACATCCCCCACCTTCTTACAACAATCTTGTGACGGCAAAGTTTATTAAACTTCGTGAAAATGAAAGGAGACTGTTAAGGGCTTTCAGATGGAACACTGCACCCAGCAGTCTTCCCAAACTCTTCCTGGTTATGCTTTCATTCTTAGGTGTGGCTAAGAACTGTCTGAAGCATCCTCAGTCATACATTGTGAAGAGAGAAGTGGAATGGGGAGTTTGTGAGAATGCCATCTCTGAGCCATGGAACAGAAACAAGGAAAGACAAGGGAAATGTGGGGAGGGAAATCTGTCTCCATGTCCTTAGCTCCCAGCTCCCTTGGTTAATAGCCTCTGTCCTCAGACTGCACTACAGTCACTGCTCCTGGGTTTGGATCAAGTCTGCAGCACTGGCCTTGGCCTGGTCTTGGCTCTCTGGCTTCCAGTCCCGGTCAACACAGACAGAGGCATAGTCCAGGAAACCCTAATCCCAAAGTCTCAGTCTAATTAATGGGGAGCACTCCCCATTTCATTTCTTTTGCATGGCAGCCTGGGAGATTGACTTCCAAAAGCAGCTGTCACTTACAAGCATGGTGGGCAGGAAGCCTCTGTCCAACCCTGTGGTTCTCTGCTCCTGGTGGTCTGCATTGCAGACAGGAAGTGTCTCCCAGGAGCAAAGGAAAAGGAAATAGGAAATCCAGTCTGTATGCCCCCCCCCAGATCTTACCACTTTTCACAAATTCTGTTTGTGTGCTGTAAAGTATATTTGCTTTTGTTTTATTGACTGGCATTACTGATGTGATGTTTGCATGCTATGTATTCTGAAATATATATATACATATGTCTGTAGTCACTGAATTAGCTTGTCAAATGATGCTTTGTATGGTGCTATATCAATTGCAGGCATTATCCTATATTTGCTATTCATGGCACTTTAGGTAACTGCCTAGGAGATTGAGATAATCATTTTTGATCTGTTATGTAATGCGTGTTTGTTACTTTGCTGTATTATTCAAGAATATTGCAACCGATTCTTCAAGAGACTTCAAAATTTTACAATTCCCAGGGAAGAATGTTAACACTCCCCATGGGCTGGGGGTGAAGACCGCATGGGGCAAATGCTTTGAATCATCACGAAGCACCGAAGTGGGGAATCTGCAGCTTTGAGGCCACATGTGGCCCTCTAGGTCCTCAAGTGCGGCCCTTTGACTGAATCCAAACTTCACATAAAAATCCCCTTAATAAAAGGATTTGTTCTATAAAACTAGAACAAGGACCTAGAAGGCCACATGTGACCTCGAGGCTGCAGGTTCCCTGCCCTGGGAAGCACATTGGAATTTGTAGCTCCTAGCCAAGAACTAAAACAGCAGTGAGATCATGTGAGCTGAGGTAGCTTTGAACTGCTTTGAGAGAGAAGAGGGGAAAAAGAGCAGGGAGGCAGTGATGCGTGTCTCCTGGTTTCCCTACATAAAGATCAGTGTCTATTTCTCGTGTGATCATGCAAGGGACAGTGGTGTCTGAGAGGTTTTGGTCTTAAGTGTAAGCCTGGTGGTTTGGAGGCCACTTGAGGGTGGACAGAGCCCGTGCTGATTTTACAGGCAGAGAATCTTAAAATGGAGCCAGGAGCTTTCCTTTCCCCATAGATGGAGCCTATGGCCTGCATCCCGACTTTTGGTTCACAGTACATACTTAATACATGTTTGCTGGTTGACAGATATGGCTAGAGGAAGTTTGTACATTGTTCCAACACGTCTCCGACAAGGGGCCCAGGAACTATTCTACTTCATTTGCTTGATAGCAAAATAACAAGGAGCTGGACTGTACTATTCACATTTATATCACTATTTTGGGGGTGGAATAATACCTATTGCTGTGTAGACACAGATACTGGAAGACTGAGAAAAGATAAGAGAAACTAGACTAGGGGCAGCTAGGTGGAGCAGTGGATAGAGCACCGGCTCTGGATTCAGGAGGACCTGAGTTCAAATCCGGCCTCAGACACATAACACTTACTAGCTGTGTGACTCTGGGCAAGTCACTTAACCCCATTGCCTAGCAAAAAAAAAAAAAAATAGAAACTAGACCAAATTGTGAATTTGGGGAACCTCTAAGTGGGACAAATCATTTTGATTTATAGGGGATGGTGTAGTCTAGGGGGAAAAAAAAAACCTAAAGTATTCCTCTGTCAAACACGTTATATACCCTTCTCCTAAATGGCACCCTCTTCTTTCTGCCCTGTCTCTTCTCTGCGTTTTCGTGCGCGCGTGCGTGCACACACACACACACACACACACACACACACACACACACACACAATTCCAGTCTAGACATGTCCAGTTTCTCATTGTTTGGTTTCTAGCTCCTGAGATCACAGGCATGAAGACAGTAAGATTGAGTGAACAACACTCCACCATTCCCACAAAACCTTGAGATGCTCCGATTGAAGAGCAGTCATGATTGACTCTCCAGCTGAGCTAGTTACCCTGAAGCACGATCCCTAGGGCTCACAGAGTCACAATGAGGGTCAAATGTGGTAACATATAAAAAGTGCTCTGCAAACCTTACAGCACCAGATAAATGCTGGCTATTGTTAGGTCACTGAGGACCAGTGTCTTTAGATGAGTAAACGTTTCTCTGGGTCCGTGAAGAACCCAATCTGGTAGCCCTTTTATTCCTCAATGTAGTGAGTTCCCACCCATGTCACGTCACTTGCACATCATCAGTTTCACCACCAGCCTCCTAAATCTAGTTTATTCTTAGTATAAGTTACACACAAGGGTTCTAGACTTTGATCTTTCAGGTTGAGTTCTCTTGAAATTCCTCAAGTCGGCATTGAAGCATCAAATAGAAATCCAAACATTAAAAGACAATTCTTGTTTCCACCTCACCCCTGTTCCATTCTTCATTTCCACAAGTTATCAGTAAGATTAAATTATGTTTGAGGTCCTTTCCAACAGTGATACTCAACGATATGTTCCCAAACCCCCACGCAAGAAAATGTGTAAACTGGTCGCAATTCAACCCAGGGTCAGTTCATTTACATCACGGAGGATCTTAAATAAAGCTGGCTTCATAGTAATCACGCTCCAGTCTCGGAAAAAAAAAAATTGTCATTTTAGGTAATTTCTCTTCCCACTTTTATTCCTTCACTCTAAATTTATGTTGAGCTATTTTGTTAAATAACATTTTAGAGGATTTACTAACAGATTTTTTTAGGACAGAGTTTCAGGCCTTGCCCTAACATACTTGGCTGCACTGACTAATAACACTCTAATATCACCTGATGGCAGGTAACATGGAGGAATAAAAGATATCAAGGTCTTTCTCTCACAAAGGACCAAATAATATTGTACCTGGTGACAAAGTGACATCTTGACTCTCCTGTAGGAAGCATCTGATGTCTGATGAGTGATAAACTACATGCTATCATTTCTCCTTTTTAAAATCACAATCATGAGGGTTTTCTTTCAGTATGGCTCATTTGATAATCACAACATTGCCATCATACACATTCATAGTGCTTTAAAGTTTACAAAGATGCTTACAAAGGTGCTTCCTCAGAGTTGAGCTGGTGCTAAAGGCTTTCCCACATTCATTACAAGCAAAGGGTTTCTTCCCAGTGTGAACCCTCTTATGTTCAGTTAGGTGGCAACTTTGACGGAATGCCTTTCCACATTCACTACACTCAAAGGGTTTTTCTCCAGTATGAATTCTCTGATGTCCTCTGAGGTTTGAATTGCTGATGAAGGCTTTCCCACATTCATTACATTCATAGGGTTTCTCTCCAGTGTGAATTCTCTGATGATGAATAAAGGAAGTCTTGTGACTAAAGTGCTTCCCACACTCATTACAATGAAAGGGTTTCTCCCCAGTATGAATTTTCTGATGTGCAGTAAGGTGTCCTCTCTGACTGAAGGCTTTCCCACATTCATTACACTCAAATGGTTTCTCTCCAGTATGAATTCTGTTATGATTCCAAAGGCTTGATTTGTTGCTGAAGGCTTTTCCACATTCGTTACATTCATAGGGTTTCTCTCCAGTGTGAATCCTCTGATGATTAATAAAAGATGTCCTGTGGCTGAAGTGTTTCCCACATTCATTACATTCAAAGGGTTTCTCTCCAGTATGAATTCTCTGATGTTCAGTAAGCTGCCACTTGTGATTGAAGGCCTTCCCACAAATGTTACATTCGAAAGGTTTCTCTCCAGTATGAATTCTCTGATGTTCAATTAGGTGGCAAAACTGGCTGAAAGTTTTACCACATTCATTACATTCAAAGGGTTTCTCTCCAGTATGAATTCTCTCATGTAGGGTAAGGTTGGAATGCTGGCTAAAGGCTTTCCCACATTCATTACATTCAAAAGGTTTCTCTCCAGTATGAACTCTCTGATGCATAGTAAGGCATACCCTATGACTAAAAACTTTCCCACATTCAGTACATTCAAAAGGTTTCTCACCAGTATGGATTCTCTGATGTTGTTTAAGGGCTCCTCTCTGGCTGAAGGTTTTTCCACATTCATTACATTTATATGGTTTCTCTCCAGTATGAATTCTTTGATGTAAAGTAAGGTAAACTTTACGGCTGAAAGCTTTCCCACATTCAGCGCACCCAAAAGGCTTTTCTCCAGTATGAATTCTCTGATGCTCAGTAAGGGGTCTCCTCTGGTTGAAGGTTTTCCCACATTCATCACATTTATAGGGTTTCTCTCCAGTATGAATCCGCTGATGATTCCGTAGGATTGAGTTGTTGGTAAAGGCTTTTCCACATTGATTACAAATGTAGGGTTTCTCTCCAGTATGAATTCTCTGATGTTCCGCTCGGTGTCCCCTCTGGCTGAAAGCTTTCCCACATTCATTACATTTATAGGGTTTCTCCCCAGTATGAGTTCTTTTGTGTAGAGTAAGGCATACCCTCAGGCTAAAAGCTTTCCCACATTCAGTACATGCAAAAGGTTTCTCTCCAGTATGAATTCTTTGATGATCAATAAGGTGTCCCCTCTGGCTGAAGGCTTTCCCACATTCCATACACTCAAAGGGTTTCTCTCCTGTATGGATTTTATGATACTGAATAAGATCTGAGTGGTAACTGAAGGGTTTCCTGCATGTATTATATTTACAAAGCTTCTTCCCCAAGGGGACTCTATTATGTTTATTTAGATCAGAAAACTGTTTGAAGCTCTTTTCAAGTGTATCATATTTATGGAAAATATTTCCTGTAGGAAGTTTCTGTTGTGGAACAAGGATTGACTCTGGGCTAAACCTTTTAACAAATGTGTAACATTCCTGGGCACTTAATTCATTAGAAATTTTTCTGTGAATGACTGTTATTTCCCTGGCCTGCTTGTCCCAGCTGTCCTTCTGTCTCTCCAACCTTACATCAAATTCCCAAGGTTCTCCCAACTTGGAATCCCGGGGACCATTCTTTGTTAATCTCTCCTTGCATGATCTTCCCACAGAGAAGCCTTGTTTTGAAGTCGAGTTCATGGTTTCATATCTTCTCTTTTGAACAAGAGACTCTGAAAGAGAAAAAAGCATTAGTAGCTGCGTGCTAGGAGAAAAGGAAAGTGCTTTATACTAAGTTCTTGATTCTCTTTTCTCCAGGAAGAAGAATTATGATAAACTGAGAAAGACTGGAATTAAAAAAATAGTAAAGGGGTAGAATAAATGTCTTTAAGATGAAAATGAAATTCAAGATGAGTGAGGAGGTATCCCCAGTGCTTAACACTATGCATGGCACAGAACAGTTCAATCAATCAACCAATCAACATTTTTTTTTCAATCAACATTTATTAAGCACCCATTGGGTGCCAGGCACTGTGCTAGTTCTAGTAGTTGCTTAATAAATGCTTGTTAACTTGACTTCTCTTTGAGTTTTTGGGACACTGCTCTCTCGGTTCTCCTCATACCTGTCTGGCCACTCCTTAGTGTCTTCTGCAAGATCTTCATCCAAATCACATGTGATTGTAACCCCAGGCTCTGCTCTGGAACCTCTTCTCTCTTCCTAGTGGCCTCACTGGCTCTCATGGGTTCAGTTATCATCTCTATGCTGCTAACTTCTAGATCTATATGTCTAACCCTAGTCTCTTTTGTACTCCAGGCCCACACTGCCAAATGCCTATAAGGAATTTCGAACTGGATGTGCTGAACTCATATTCTTTCCTCCTAAACCTAAGCCTCTTCTAGACTTCTCCGTCACTGTTGAGGGCACCCAAGTTCACCACCTAGGACTAGCCTTTGAGTCCTCACTCTCACTCACTCCACATACCTGACCGGTTACCAAGTCTTGCTGTTTCTACCTCCACATGGTCTCCAGCATACATTCCCTTCTCTCCGTCCACACAGCTCCCACCTTAGTTCAGGTGCTCATCACTTCTCCCCTGAATTACTGTAGTAGCCTCCTAACAGGTCGTCCTGCCTTAAGATGCCCCACTATGTAATCCATACCTCAGATGCAAAAATGACAGCCCTGAAGACAAGGTCTGACTATGTCACTTCCCAGCTCAGTAAACTCAGTGTCTCCCTATTACTTTGAGGATCATATACAATCTTCTCTATCTTCAATTTAAAACCCTTCACATTCTGGCATCCGCCTACTTGTCCGGCCATACCATACATTTCTCTCCTTCATGCATTCCACGGTCCATGCGGGCTTGTTTGCTGTTCCTCAAATGTTACCTTCCATTTGCTCTTTTTGTTCTTTGAGAGGCTGTTCCCCACACCTGGAATGCCTTCTCTTCTCACCGCCTCTCCTTAGAATCCTGTTTTCTTCAAAGTTCAAATACCATCTCCTACTTGAATAAGCTGCTAGTACCTCTCCCCTTCGCTCTCCCCAAAATCATTCTGTACATGACAGGCAGTGTGGACTAGTGGCTAGAGCTGGTCTTGGAATCAAGAAGAATGGAAGTTCAAGTCTTCCTTCTGAGACACATACTGGCCAAGTTACCCAGAAAAAGTCACCTGACTTCTCAGGTCTCCAGACAACTCTCTTCAACAGTGAAGGTGCAAAGCGAGGTATAGATAGGCATTAGTAGGCCTTCCCTCACTGGAAGTTCCCTATACTAATGATATAATAGGTTTTTTAAAAAGTGGGTATGTATACACACATGTACATGTGCATATAAACCTATACACATAGACATGCATGTGCACACACATGCACGTATAGATATGGATGGGAAGAACAAGCCATATATGCATATACCTGTACATACAAATACACATACATATACATACACACGTACATATACATGCACACACAGATGGACACAGACAGAGACATATCTGGAGATGGAGACATGCTTACGTGTGTACATATTGTCTCTCCAGATAGAACACGAGCTACTTGACAAAATGGACTGTTGTTTTTGACTCTGTATCTCTTGTTCATAGCACGATGCCCAGCTCATGGTATATGCTTCATACGTGCTTGTTGGCTGACTGGTAATATATATGGAGGACACACTCTGAGTGATTTGGGGGGCAGGGATCGGGTCTCCCTGCCTCTCCAGTGCTCCTGGAGGTACAGCGGCTGCTCCCAGGCCCAATCACAATATGCGCTGGCTTTAACCAGCTCTGTTTCCAAGCTGGGCTGGTTTTCCCCTTCTTAAGCAGCCTGCTCCCAGAGGCTCACCACATCAGTGCTGGACTTAGTGTGGACACCAGAACAACGGTTGTCCTACTGCAGTCAGAATTCCAGAATTCAAGTATTCCATTGCCCCAGCCTCCTCTAGTAGTAGGGAATACACGCATTGCTATTTCATGGTCACATGTGTGTATAGCTTGTCTCTCCAACAAGACTAAAAATCCTTAAGGGCAGTAAAAGTCTCTAATTCTTGAGAATGCCTCCAAAGGTCTAGGTCAGTGTTACATGCCTTAATAGCCAACCAATAAACACTGATCAAATGACTGTATTAGGTAGTAAAAATGCAAAGACAAAAAAGAAAAGCAGTCCTTTCTCTCAAGGAACTAAGGTAGCAGAATAACTTCTAGGGAAAAGGATCTGAATTATTGAAAGCAAAAATGAAGGCACAGGAAGGACTTTGTTTTAGGAAACCTAATCCCTTTTTCACTAAAGTAAAACCCTTTGAGGAGATGTTTCTATTCCATATTGACTTCCGGCTAGCTCAGCCTTGAATCGACAATGAGCCTCGTACACATGGTTCTTACTCACTCACCTGGACAAGTAACTTGTGGGACCTCAGCCTCTGGTGTCCATGGTCCTTCCCCTCGCTCCAACTGGGATATCATGTCTGGTTTAAAAAAGGGAAGCCCTGATGACAGGGGAAAGAAATGAGAAAGGATTGATAGCAAAAGAGCCAGTTCAGATAGTCACAGAATCTCAAAGTAGGAAGGGTCTTTGAAGAGCCTCTAGTCCTCTCCATGACTGAGTAAGAATCTCCTCTGCCATCCCAGTTCCAATTCTGAAAGATTTAAGAACTCTGATCAACACAGAGTCCAACCATGATTCCAGAGGACCAGTGCTAGAGAATTCTGCCCATCTCATGACAGAGAGGTGAAGCTAAAGATTCTAAGAGGTGCATATCAAGCATAGCGGATAGCAGGCCCCTAAGAAAACCCTATGGAACCCTTCTCTGAAACATGTTTTTAAATGCATAAAGTAAAATCTGATTGGGGCGGCTAGGTGGAGCAGTGGATAGAGCACCGGACCTGAAGTCATCTTCCTGAGGTCAAATCTGCCCTCAGACACTTATTAGCTATATGACCCTGGGCAAGTCATTTAACCCTGTTTGCCTCAGTTCCTCATCTGTAAAATGAGCTGGAGAAATGGCAAACCATTCTGGTATTTTTGGCAAGAAGACCCCAAACGGGGTCGTGAAGGGTCAGACATGACTGAACAACAACAAAATGGGATTACAAGGAAAATAATTATATTGAACTAAGAGATAATTTATTCCCATCCAACTTCATGGACCCCCTGAAATATATTCACAGGATGTCTGTAGACTCCAAATAAGAATCCCTGGCCTAGGTAATAACAGCCTGAACAAGGGTGGTGGCTATGTGAGTGGAAAGAAGGCAAAAGATGTAAAACATGATATAGGGGTAGAATCAATAGGATGTGAAAACTGAGTGTGGGAGGTAAGAAAGAGAAAAAAAGAAGAGGGGGATTCTGAGGTAGTAAACCTGGATGGCTAGAAGGATGATGGTATGCATCAGAGGAAGAACAGGTGAAGTGGGAAAGGGGATGAGTTCCATTTTGGACATATTGTGTTCGAGAAGTCTACAAGACCTTCAGGTAGAGGCAGCTGACAATGAATGTCTAGAGTTCATAAGAGACAGGAGGATTGGTAATACAGTTCTTCAAATCATAAGTACAAAGACGGTAACAGAACACTAAGGGAGAAGGCATAGCTAGAGAAATGAAAGGGGTTGAGGACAGATCCTTAGGGGAAACTCATAGTGAAGAGGTAGGAAAAAGAAGATAATTTAGTTACGGATCAGTCAGACAGGTGGCAAGAGAACCAGGAAAACACAGTGATACAAGTCATAGGAGGACATAGTACCCAGGAAACATTTCAGAAGCAGAAGTCAAGAAGGATGAGGAGTGAGAAGAGGTTAGCAATTAAGAGAGTGGGGTGACCTTGGAGAGTGCCCTTGGAGAGTGGCTTCAGTTGGGCAGTAGGGACAAAAGACAGTTTGCAAGAAGCTGAGGTGAGATGAATGGGAAGTAAGAAGGCAGAGGCAACATTTCCCCCCAAGAGTTTGGTTATTTAAGAGAGGAGAGATATAAGACCATAGTTAGAGGGGATGGTAAGGTCAAATGAGGGAATGAGAATGAGAGAGAGAAGGGATGATTAAAGAGGCAAGCTAAGGAGGGAATGGATCAAGAATACAAGTGTAGGGGTTAGTCTTGACAAGAAGAAAGGCTATCTCTCCATCAGCAATTGGAGGTAAAGGAAGTGGGACTAGAGGATGACAGAGGATTCTCAGAGGGGAGAAGAGGGAGCTCACCACAAATGAACTCTATTGTTTCTGTAAAGGGCAAAGTGAGGTCTTCTGCTCAAAGGCAGGTGGAAGAAGGCAGTACAGAAAATT